TATATGGGCATTAACAATAAAAGGAGCTTTAACAATTTCAGTAGTCACAATAACAGTAATACTACCTGAATCCACCCTTCTTTTTACACCACTATATTCCTTCACATGAACATTGAACTAATTATTATTTTATTATTATTATTATTATTATTATTATTATTATTATCATAATTATTATTATTAATAATAATAATAATATCATTATTAATATTGTCGCAATCTCTATGTTTACCCTCCATGTCTTTCCCTCTCCCCCTACATATCACGCACGTGTTCAACACGGATGATCACAGGTGTTCACAACAAAGAGACTGGACACCTTCACGGCTATGGCAAGTCCTGCCTACATCTCACTGACAGCCGAGGATCCCATCCTTGCATCATTCCAGCTAAGCCAGAAATTCCGCCGGTTGTCGGAGATCGAAGGAGAATATAAAGTAACGTTTCGTATTATGTTATATTATATTATGTTGTGTTACTTTATGTTATGTTACGTTACCAATTTCGATGTCCCTGCACAGTGGGTACACTCTACTAAGTATTTTTCGTCTCTTGTCAATATTTCTTTAGGCCGCTAAGCGTCGCGATTCTTCAGACAATAGGCAGCTGATCCAGGGCGCGTTCAGTAGCTTGATATGCGGTGATGTTATGCAGTCTGAAGGTGTCAATGACTCCTTCAATCCATATTCTTCTCGGTCTTCCTCTCCCTCGTGTTGTTTCGATTTTCAGGTTGCACTCTCTTGCTGCTGGCATCGTTGGTTTCATTCTCGTTAGATGGCCAAACCATTTCATTTGCTACGTTTTATTGTATGTTATTTCACAGGTTTTCCTCTGCCTTCTACCAAATTTCCCTTCAGTGTTTTCTTGATTATTGGCTATGTCCAAGGCGATAAACCTTTCGGTGTTGGGGGAAAAGGAGGGGGCGGGGGGAGGGGGTTGTATAGAGTAAACGAAGGATGTGTGAATCACTCTATAATCTATTCCCCTCCCTAGCTTATTATGTTTTTTTTCCCCTTAGTCAGAACACACACAAGAAAATCTGGCTTGCTATGTTGTCACTAATATTGTTAGATTACTGTTTTAAGAGCAATGCTTAAATATTTATCCACTGATATCTCTCTTAAAAACTTCTTCTGGTTCTAGAAAAGTTAAATTCTTCAGAGAACTTTATAAATGGACTAACCGACCCCTCTACACATATATGTAGGTTCTTATTCAAAATACGAGTAAAAGGGCTCTTCTGTATAGAAAAATGCTCTTTCTTAGTATTTATTTATGGTAAAGGACCCTGTTCCACGCCTTGATGCATGTTGGGAAATAGGGCTTAGACCTATATTTTATAGACCACACGGTACTTGGTGGATGATGTTGTCAGCATCCATCCTGCCGTCTTTACTTCCCGGGGGGTTTTCTGGTACCCACTCAAGGCTGGTCGACCTGGGAGCCAAGGTCATTGTTGAAAAATGTATGGCCCTGTCAGGACCCGAACCCACGAACTTCAGATCCGCAGGCGAGCGTCTAGCCACTACACCACGGCGGCTTCCAAGTATTTATCTATACTTTTCCTCTTATTTCAAACATGTGTTTGTATTCAGTGCTATTCTGTCCAATATTTGAATGCCCGTCGAGATCATACCGTCCATACAAGGCCTACACCAACAGAGAACAGGGACGTAGATCACGAGGTCGCCTGAGAACAACATGGAAAGACATCAGAAAACCTCTACTGCAGTATAATGATTCCCGAATGGCGGCTAGAATAGGAAGAGGCAGAACCGGCTTTATGGACACTGAAGCGGTAAAAGAGAAAGTAAATGAATGGGAATCCATTATTATTAGTATTATCAATATTATGCACTTAACTATAGCTTATTCCCTTTCCGACCCCACCACCATAAAATAGATAAGAGGTCTCGGCGCTTCAGACCGCATGTGTTCTTTTTATCGACTCCCCGTCAATATCTTTCATGTATATAAAACAGCAGGTTCTCCATATCAGAGTATTTGCACAGAATGACAGATAGATGGCTGACCGCTGTCGCTCTAAAAAGCTGTTTGTTTCCAGCTAGGTTTTGATGATGCAAATTCCAATTTGTTTTTGACCTGGAGTCCTAAGGTTCCCTCGCCCAGCTATTGAATTGAGTGCTTTCTGCGAAACTTTAAGCTGCAAATTTCATGTGGAATGTGAGTTTTCTTGTTTTTTTAAGGCCTGCGGCGTACAGTTGACGGCAATAATATGGCGGTTGACCGATTGATTTCAAAATGGAGTTTACTTTTGCGGGTGGAGTACCTGCTTTCGCGATTGATCGTCTTTGCCAACAGTGAGCTGAAAATGCTGTCGTGCCAACGTTATCTGCCTATCCAAGCATGCAAAGACTACTGTCGGCAGAATGACCGGAGGAAACCATATTTGGTTCGACGGGCATGACGGCGACACTAGTAAAGCGCTGTGGAGCGCATAGAGCATGTCGAGTCACGTGGAACGCCCTGGTTATCTATCCACTGCACCAAGACATATCTCCAGTCGTCCTGACTCTGTCTTGTCACTAGACCCAGATGTGACTTAGGCGAGAGAGTGAGGTCGACGACACTGTGCAACTCTTCCTCACTTTAATCCAAGTCACCGCGCAAGTCACTCTTTAATCTTCATCACCACCTCAAAGGCGACTGCAGGAGATCCCCTCCCTGGCACAACGCTCATTCCCTGTCCTCAGTGTACAAGAACTTTTCGGGCCGATTCGGGCCCGCGTCGGCCTCATCAGTCATCGGCCTCATCAGTCATCTTCGTACTCATACTTGATGAAAAAGAGTGGTAATTATCATCTTGATGGACAACACCCAGTGTAGCACATTTTTAACAATTGTCTAGTACATTAACTTTTTGCTTCGAGCTTCAAAATTTTGATGAGAAAAAAAGTATTTACTAGTTTTCAAATGGGACAGAGATGGACATTTTGTAAGATTTTCACCGCCATAGGAATGGAACAGATATGGGACGACGCATTGATGCTGAAATTTTGACTAACTCTTTAAGAGCTACATGGTGACGTGTGCGAATGTTCGCTTGATACAACGCACACTTGCCAAGTATCCATGGTATGTTAAATAGTGTTACAGTAACAAGTCACCATTCCCGCCCAACAGCAATAAGGACGCCGGATACATGTTGAACGTCAAACAGAATTAATGTATTTCTAATTTCAACACCAAAACAATGAAAGGCATCACGAGAATAAAACGTTACACCGCCACAGTCATTCCTACTGGCAAGGCAACACACACTACGGACGCTCTGGGCTACTTCTACTGCCACCCTGTTCCGTGGTCAACTACGAGCAAACATTACCTGCTCGTGCAAACTCACTGCTCGTGATTATGTGTCTACCTCTATGACACCCATCCCTTGGGTACACTGTCATAGCAGAATCATACAGGCCGATGCACAGTACATTGTGAAACTTGTCCAGACCTTTCGTCTGCGGCCACACGAGCGTCTGTCACGCTGGCGCGACCGCTGTAACAACACTCACAGACAGCCCGTACCCTACCGCCAGCGTAACACAGTTATGCAGGACCAGCCTGGATCCATCCAGATTAGAACAGGCTTCCTACACAGCGTAGTAGAGTCCACCGTTACTCACTCTCTCCCTCTCTCTCTACATCACGTTCAATGTGTGCGCACCGCACCAAGTCCCACGTTCAACAATGAACTTCCCTTCCCATATATTGCACACAACAGCTTATTCCCCCCTTCCTCCAGCAAACAGACACCATTTGTTTCTGTTTGCTCGAGACAGGACCGCCGTGCTCAACACATGGCAATATGCAGTTCATAATTTACATAACATGCACAATATGAATAATATATTTCACACATAATCTTAAGCATGTTAGGTACATTACTATGCCTCAAAATAACAAGACCAGAAAAACCTAGTCACACAGTTGTCCTTGATAGGAAATCTGGGATCACGTTTTCCTCCCCTCGGACATAGTGGACAGTGAAGTGGTATGGCTGCAGCATCAGCGCCCATCTAAGCACCCTTGCATTCTTCACTGCTCCCGAACACAATGCCTGCAGTGGTTGATGGTCAGTGAAGATAGCAAAATGGTTACCGTACAAAAACCTGGAGAACTTGTTGACCCCAAACACTATGGCCAGGCACTCTCGTTCTATCACACTGTAGCGTGTCTCCGCTGGGGACAGTTTCCTACTGGCATACAGGACTGGATGCCATGTACCTCGGAACTCCTGTACGAGGACACTGGCCACTCCCACATCAGAGGCATCACATGAAATACCAAAGGGTACATTCAAATTAGGTAAACGCAACAATGGTAAATTATTAAATGCACTTTGTAATTGTCTCAAGGATTCACCACATTGTTCGTTCCACCATATCTTGTTTGGCATTCCCTTCTTAGTCAGATCAGACAACACAGACGTGATGGTGGCATAATGGGGAATGAATTTTGCGTAGAAATTACTCAAACCCAGCAATGCTCGAACTTGCTTTTTAGTCTTAGGGACAGGAAGGTTCAGAAACCTGTGAATAGTGGATTGAACGGGTTTTCTTACCCCTCTGCCTATGACATGACCAAGGAACGTCACTTCCTCGACTGCAACCTCTACCTTGGTTGGTCTGACTGTCAATCCAAACGACCGGATGCGCTCCAACAAGCTTCTCAACCCTTGTATATGTGCTTCGATGTCCTCATGAAACAGGAGAATGTCATCCAAATAATGAATTATATCACTACGATCACGAACCAATCTCCTCACCATCCTTGTGAAGGTGGCAGGAGCATTACAAAGCCCAAAAGTAAGAAATCGAAAGTGATACAAACCCCTGACAGTTTGGAAAGCGGTATATTTTTTTGCTTCTTCCGCCAACGGTATCTGCCAATAACCTTTTGCTAAGTCTAGTTTAGTGAAATATTTCGCATTAGCCAAAGTGTTAAACATGTCCTCCATATTTGGTATCGTTTCTGCGTCTATCCTTGTAATGCGGTTGAGGCGCCTGAAGTCGATACAGATCCTTAACGTTCCGTCCTTCTTCTTCACAGGCACTATAGGAAAAGAGTAGGCGGACGTCGATGGTTCAATCACTCCCAACCGAATCATGTCATCAATCTCCCTGTCTATTTGCGATTGATAGTGAAGGGTACCGGATATGGCTTGAGTTTAACAGGTTGACAATCGGTTAATTCAATGGAGTGGACTGCCTTTGTGGTGACGCCCGGTATGTCAGATAAAATATCCTCGAATGAGGCCAGCATTCTCAGAATTTGACTCCGTTTCTCTCCTGGTAGTGCATAGGACACCTGTACATCCTTCCAGGACTCCTTGGGTACTAATGGTGGTAATTCCATCTTCAGTGGAACATCCGACTTGTCCTCCCCCATACATTCCTCCACCACATGGCAAAACCCAGCC